GGTGACTTCTGCAGGGCCATAAGAAGCATGAGGGCCCGGGGACAGTGATAGATGACCTCTAAGGAGGACTCTGCAACACTGCACTGAGCATTGTTTCTGTGCCCATAGGGTGGGCGTCCTGGAGAGGGTGCCATAGGAGCCCCAGGTCTCCAACATTGCCATTCAGAATTCTCATCTTCGCATTGAAGAAATCCCAGTGCTGTCTTCAGCCTCAGGAAGCAGAGAGGGACCCTGCCACACGCACCCGGATGTGCGGAACAGCCACTGGAGACTCCTTTGTGCACCATCCAGCTGGGTCCTTGTCTCATGCCCCTTAATTCCAGGAGCACTGCCTTAACTGCTGGGTAATTTCCAACAAGTCATTATCATTTGCTTGTGGCTAGAGTGGAAAGAAGGCAGAGTGTGTACACGTGTGTGTTTGTGTGTTGGGGAGGAAGTGTGGGGAAGAGAGCAGAGAATGGAAAATCTGTTTACAATTAGTTAAGTCTCCATCTTGATCCTCTCTTAATGAGATAATTAGATGTCATTTGAGGAGGAGCATTTAGCTTATTTGTGGCTATTAATCCCCTGATGTGCTCTTACTCCTTCAGGAGGTCTCCAAGAACGTTAACATATGGGCTTTCCAGAGGGGCAGGCAAGGGCTGGAACTGCAGACACAGCAGCTGCTGCCTCTTACTATCACCGCCATCATCATCACCACTATCATCACCATCATCATCACCATCATCACTGCCATTGTCTCCATTACCATCATCATTATCACCATCATCACTGCCATTATCGCCATTACCATCATCACCATCACCATCATCACTGCCATCATTACCAACATCATGACCATCATAAACCATCATCACTGTCATCATCACCATCATCACCATCATTGCTGCCATCATCACCATCATCATGACCATCAACACCATCATCACCATCATCACTGCCATCATCACTACTGTGATGCTTTTCACTGACACTATCCAAAACATGTTGTAAAAAGGAGCCGGGCATGGTGGCTTCCTCCTGTAATCCCAGCACTTTGGGATGCCGAGGCGGTCGGATCATGAGGTCAGGAGTTTGAGACCAGCCTGACCAACATAGTGAAATCCTGTCTGTACTAAAAATGCAAAAATTATCCAGGTGTGGTGCCATGCGCCTGTAATCCCAGCTAGTCAGGAGGCTGAGGCAGGAGAATCGCTTGAACCTGGGAGGCGGAGGTTGCAGTGAGCTGAGATTGCACCACTGCACTCCAGCCTGGGCGACAGAGTGAGACGCCATCTCAAAAAAAAAAAAAAAAAAAGATGGGGGTCACAATATGTAAACCATCACACCTCAGGAAACCTGGGATATTTTGAAAAGTCACTTAAGGTGCCATCTGCATAAAAACTCCTTAGCCTTGTGGGGTGGCTATTGAGAGACCGGAGGGGTTTGGGGACAGGACTAAGGGAGGCACAGGTTTCCCCATGAGTAGAACTGCACAAGAAGGGGCCAGGGCAGGAAAGTCTAGGTCTTGTGAGCAAGCAGTGAGTGTTCATTCAGATAGTCAGGGGGGCTTCCAGATGGGCAGAGAAGGAAGAGACCAGAAAGGCAGGGAGAGACGGAGGGCATATCGGGCATATCAGGCGCATACTTGAGTTGGGAATCCACTTATCCAAGCCCTTGAGGCCCTGGGGCAGAGCTGAGATGGCAATGCCCTGGATGCCTTGCCCAGACTTGTTTGCTGTGCACCAGATTGAGGACACAATGGGGTACCAAAGACTGAATGTAGGAAGGACAACCAGGAGACTGCAGAAGAGACTCAGGTGTGACATGGCAGAATTCCGGTCCAGGGAGCTGGAATTGAAAATAGAAAAGGCAGGACAGAGGTTAGACTTTTCAAGTTTATGCTTTTCTCTTTCAAATGGACCCAAGCTCCGGCAGGGCAGCACCTCCCCATATGGTCCAGGACTCAGCACATCCTGAAAGAATAACTGTCCAGCATGTTGTCAACATTCTACGTTGTTCTCAACCAGAGTCGACCAGCCCAATTTAGTTAGTTAGTCTAGTAGGAAATGAAGTCATCCCACTCCAGCACTGCTGTTGGGGGCTCTGCTTCGGGACAAGTACTGTGTGTCCTTCAGATTTCCGTTCCCAGAGCCAGGCACAGTATCAGGCTCAGAGCAGGAAGCCAGTCAGTGCTGGTGGAGGCAAGGCGGGGGTCTTACACACTCAGTGGGGTTTTCCAGAGTGGGAGAAGGCAGAGTCAACGGGAATGGCAGGCTTTAGAGACTGGCAACTGGAAACCAGATGGCACCTTTCTCACAGAATCCTGCAGCAGTGTTAGCTTGGAAGAAAATGTGATGCATATACACACACACACACGCACACACACACACAATTTTTTTTTTTTTTGAGACAGAGTTTCGTTCTTGTCACCCAGGCTGGAGTGCAATGGTGTAATCTCGGCTCACTGCAACCTCTGCTTCCTGGGTTCAAGCAATTCTTCTGCCCCAGCCTCCCGAGTAACTGAGATTACAGGCACCCGCCACCACGCCCAGCTAATTTTTGTATTTTTAGTAGAGACAGGGTTTCACCATGTTGGCCAGGCTGGTCTTGAACTCCTGACTTCAGGTGATCTGCCCACCTCGGCATCCCAAAGTGCTTGGATTACAGGCACGCGCCACTTCTCCCAGCTGATGCTCATTATTTTAATTACTCTGAGTAGCACCTGCATGGAGAAGGACGAGAGCACAAAAGGAGGCCAGGCATGGATGCAGAAGCTTGAACGTTCGTGGATGCAGAGGTGGTCATGACACGAAAGGCACAGCAGTGGCTGAGACCCTCGGTGGGGAGCTGAAGGGGCTGAGCAGAGCCCCGGGCCAGGGCCGTGGAATGTCACCAGCGGAGACGGCAGGCGAAGGAGGTGAAGCTCTGGTGGGAGGTGGAATTGGAGAGAAGGTTGCTGGAGGACAAAGGAGGGAAGTGTTTCAAGCCCTGTTGATCAATGATGATCCCATAGGGAGGGCAGAGGTGCTGGAGGAAGGCAGAGAGTTGAGCTGGCCCTCGGCAGAAAAGTGACAGGGACACAGAGCCAGAAGGCCAGGTCTGTGCAGCAGTGGTATCTTCTGCTGTCAGCTACAGAATGTATTCCTGCAAACAGGGTCAACCCGTACATGCTTTCGGGGACAGAGTCTTGAAGGGAGGCCAATGGAAACGAGTTTTGTGAATAATGCCACCCAACCTCCCAGGCTGTGTGGATGAGTTTTCCTCCCCTCTGTCAGAGAGCACGCCCACAACAGCTCTGCCCAAAGGCAATGCAGCCATTCTTAACTCCATCCTGAAAATGAGGACAGTGGCTTCCAGTGACTTCGAGAGTTTGTCATCTGGGGATGTTCCCACTCTTCCAGACTCCTGTAGCGCGTCCTATTTATTCTCACATGGTTCGCATGCTGGGGAGGAGGAGGTAGTTACTTGGTTGGCCTTCTCTTCCCCCGTTGTAAGGTCTAGTTTGAAGACCTCATCCCCTCTCCTGGCCCCAAGCTTTCCGTGAAAACATGGCTCCTTCTCACCTATCCTTGACCCAGGTGTTTCTCACGGGTGCTCCCATGAGCCACAGGCCCCTCAGTACAATGTCCATCGGCTTCCTAACCTTGTCAATACTGAATATATTCAGGCACAACAGTCCCCTTAGTTCCATAAGTGGTGCAACACAACCTTTCTCCCAGACCGACATTCCAGGTGCCTGTTCCCTCTGTCCACAGCTACTCTGCATGCCCTTTGAGCTGCCTCTTCAGTACCTCCCACACCAGTGCCCTGGCCGCTTCTCACTGACAGCAGATAAGCCCCAGCAACCCCTTCTGAGATTTCCTCCCCTGGAAGAGGTTCCTGAATGAGGGACAGGCACAAGTGGATGTGGGCAGTATTTAAGGATGGCTAGAGCTAATAGGTGGAAGAGAAAGGAGATGGCAGGAGGAGCCATGAGGATAAAAAGAAGGGTGCAGGAGTGAGCGGAGCATGTGCCAGAAGAGTGAGCAAATTGGATTATCCTTCCCAGAAATGGAGAGTAGTTGACAGGGAAGATAGAATCAAATTTGGGGTTTGACTCAAGGGAGAGAGGCTTTGAAGGGCAGAGGGAGCCCTGGGATTTAATTTAGTGAATAACAGGGCTCCTCCATTCTTCATCTTAACTGGACAAGCTGGGAAGAACTGAGTCTTTGTTCTGCCAATTACTCCCTGTTTTGGCCACAGAAGTTGGGCGTAAGTGCGGCAGTGGTGCCAAAGGTGGCGTGGCTGACCCAGGCGTGTAGTACAAGTGGAGCTGGCAGGGCTCACGGTGCCTCCAGGGCGGGGCGGGCTGGTCTGTGTACATTGCTGTTGTGATATTAGCTGGTAAATAATGCATGAGTCTGGGTGATGTTTGGCAGAGAGAGCTCTCTCAGTGCAAAATGTTACAGCCAACAAAGTTTAATAAAACACGGAGCCGCCTCTGGGAGGAACAGAGGCCCCATATCTGCAGCCATCCCCACCTTGCCCAGCCCAGCCCAATTGCTCCAGAAAGTTGGTGTCTCAAAGGCCAGGGACAACGTAAACAGAACACACACCCGGTTGCAGCCCTGAGGAGACTCCCTGGGCAGAGCCTGGCACCACATACATCTCCCTGACCCCCAGCACCCTCGTCCCCTGACCCCCAGCACCCTCGTCCCCTGACCCCCAGCACCCTCGTCCCCTGACCCCCAGCACCCTCGTCCCCTGACCCCCAGCACCCTTATCCCCAACCCCCAGCACACTCATCCCCTGACCCCCAGAACCCTCATCCCCTGACCCCCAGAACCCTCATCTGTGAGATGCAGATGTGTGGGTGATCCCCAGGGTGATCAGGACCAACAAGGGAATGTGTGGGACTGTGTCCTATTTGGACTGCTGCAAAATGCATGGTCGTCCTCCAGCAGTTCTGGAAAAGGGACAGTGCAATCCTTCACTTCGAACTTTGGATCTGAGGCTCTTTTTTGCTCTGATGTGCGGGTTATTCATTTCACCACCTCCACAGCTGCTTTAAAGGGGAGCTGGGGAGGCAGCGTGAACACACTTCCTTCCTCTCTCCTGGGAACCACGGGGGCTGACACCATCAGGGACCGCCCAGCATGGAGCCACCTCCGGATGTTTGGGGCGTTCCTCAACTGACGGGCCTGGTTGGCAGACACTGCTTTCCAATAACAAAGCTGAGAAGACCCCAGCACTGCCTTCCCTGCTGACCTGGATGATGGGCCTGGAACATGGAACCTCAGATGCCCCGGGGCAGGGGAGGAGAGGCCTCTTCCCTGTGTGGCCACACTGTGATGGCCCTAGGGGAGTTGCAGAGCCACGTGGGGAGTCTGTGGTCAGGGGCGGGACAGCAGAGTCCCCCTGCACCGGCCTGGTGGGGCGATCTGGACAACGGGTCTGGCTGCGCAGCTCCCTTCACTCCTCCCGTGTCTCGGCCTTCCTGGGGATTCATGAGCTGCCCCAAATCCGCACGATAAATTCCCCTTTGCTGCAGGAGCCAGCCATGCTACACAGACCAAACTCCCAACCAGCACAGCGTCTGTTTGCCACCACCGGGCATCCCAGCAGATGACACACCCTTGGAGGCATTCCTCCAGTGGCTGCGTCGCCAGCAAGGTGCCCGGTCACTGGGCCCCCTGGACGGAGTCTGAGCTCAGCAGCTCCGAGGAGACCACCCCAGTGGTCTGCAAGTTATGGCCACGAGGTGGTTGTGCAGGTGAGGGAGAGCTTGGCCCTGGTGCTGGGAGTCGATGCTGCCCTGGTCTCTCTCCGGCTCCTGCGACTGTTCTGGGTGGGCATCTCTCCTGCCAGCTGTTCTCGGATCTTCTTGGATCTGTAGTTCTGTGTCTACCACTAGTTTGTGAAAACTCTTGGTCACTGTCACCTCAAATATTTCTTCTGCTGTGTTCTCCCTTCTCCTCCTGGTATTCTAATCACACGTGTTACACCTTCTATAGCTTCTGGCCATGTCCCACCATTCTCGGATGTTCTGCTCTGTTTTTGGTAAATTGTGTGTGTTTTTCATTTTTCTCTGTGATTTCTATGGAGCTAATCTCACTAATTCTCAAGTCTCCTGGTCACTGAGTCTGTGGAGGGCATGCTCCGTTCCCGTTGCCACGCTTGCTTTTTTTTTTTTGTTTCCCGAGACAGAATCTCTCTCTGGTCTCCCAGGCTGGAGTGCAATGGCACAATCTTGGCTCACGGCAACTCTGCCTCCCGGGTTCAAGTGATTCTCCTGCATCAACCTCCTGAGTAGTGGGGGTCACAAGTGCCCCCCGCCATGCCCAGCTAATTTTTTGTATTTTTAGTAGATCCCATCTGGTCTCAAACTCCTGACCTCAGGTGATCCACCCGCCTCGGCCTCCCGAAGTGCTGGGATTACAGGTGTGAGCCAGCACGCCCGGACACCATGTTTTCAATCTCTGGTGTTTCCTATTGTTTTGTTCTTACAGTTTCCATCTCTCGGTTTACATTAGTCATCTGATCTTTCACGTGGTCTACTTTTTCCAATGGAAACCTTAACATATTCATTATAGTTATTTTAAATTCCCCGCCTGATAATTCTAACGTCTGCATCATATCTGAGTCTGGTTCTAATGACTGTCGCTTCAGATTGTCTTTTTTTCAGTGCTTTGTCATGTTTTGTGGGAAGCCTTGCCTGGTGTATTCGATAACAGGAACAGAGGTAAACGGGATTTACACTGATCTGGCTAGGAGCTGGGCTAAGTTTCGTGTTTGCTGTAACTACAGGTGCCAGAGGCTGGGTGGATATTGATTTCTTTTCCTAGTCTCTTCTGTCAGACCTTATAGGAAAAAGTATTCAGTCAGCAAATGTCCACTGTGGCCAGGAAGTGCTCAGTGCCTGGGGCCTCCGTGGTGATGACCAAGCCATGTCCTGACACCACGCACCAGGAAGACCCTGGGAGGTGCGCTGGGGGCTGGAAGTAAAAATCAGAAGAGTGGCGTGGAGGAGGTGGCACAGGTTTTACAGGGCAGGCAATCCTTGAATGAGGCGTTGTCGATTCTGCAGGAGTTGTTTAGGAAGGAAAAGGTGGCATATAAACATTATATTTAAAGTGGCTAAACTTGACAGGAAATTGTGATCTGAATCATGAGAACTGGCTCAAGCTGGAGTTGCATGGGGTAGAAGCTGGGTCTTCCCGTGTTATCCGTGATAATCTTCCCCACTTGTTGACTCTGGAGAACAGCCTGTCCCATTCCCCATGGTGTCCTCAGAACCGGCACATGGCAAGTGTTAAAGAAATGGAGGAACAGGGTAGACATGGATTCAATGGGACTGAAACCAATCAAGGCTGAGGAACCAAAGAGAGCACGGGAAACCCATGTCAGGTCCCACAGTGTGGCCTCCACGGCACTGGGAAGATTCTGCCAGGAGCGCACGGCTCCCTTTGCTAAAAAACTACAGGCATCTCCCCACAGATTCATCCATTCATGCCTTGTCCACTCATTCCTGCACATCCTTTCTACCAGTCTTCCTCTAGAGAGAGAAATGCATGTGCTTAAGCCCTTTCTGCTGGTGCCCTACTGAGCCCTCATTCCAAGGGTCTCATTTTATAGCTGTGTAAACAGAAACCCAGAGAGGGGTATGAGCAGGCAGTTGGTTATACAGTGTGGCCTCCTGGACACCAGGTAAGTGCTCTCCATTATCCCAAAGGTTTGAGGCTCCCAGGTGTGTGGGTGGGCTGTTTCTTGCACTTCTTGCACTCTTGTCTCCTGCCTCTCTTGCACTTCTGCTCTAGCCCGATGGCCTGGACACAGCACTTTACTCCCTCAGGTTTCCAGTTCCTCCCTCGGCATGTGGGGATGATGACCCTCACCCGTGGACCTGGCTGCATTGCCATCAATAAACCTGCGTTGTGAGGTGTGAGGTGGGAGGCATAATTATTAGCACAAGAAGATAACCCTAAGGGTGTGACTTTTGCAGAAGTTTGGCCTGGAAAAGATGAGAGGACAGAAAAGAAAGAAGACTCCAGAGGCACGAACGTCTTCTGCCCAAGGGGAGAGCTACCCACGTGTCTCCCTCCAGGAGGAGGGACGCCATAAACACTAACTGGACTCGTCTCGCAACAGTCCCTGCCCTCCACCGCTGTATCAATATTTATCAAGTCTTTGGGGGCTCAGAATGCGTGCTGGGGATTCAATCAATCCAGCGGGGATCTGAGTGCTGCGTTGCATTTTGAGCAACTTCAATATGTCTGCCGGTGTTTGGACGCTTGCTTCCATTACCAATTCATGAAGCGTCTGCTGGAATTAGTAAATCCCTTTCATTTACTTACGTAGGAGAAAATGTTTAATAGCTGCCACATGAAATTTGCAAATTGTGCTCTATCTGAGGCTGATTAATAAAACACCATGGAAAATCCATCAGTCATTTTGGGATTTAAATTAGTACCGCATTCTACTTGAATCATCTTTTGCAAAATGGTTTTGGCCTCCCATCTCCGTCCCCACCCTTTCTCCTTCATCTCTGTTTTTCCCCTTCCAGCCTCGGCAGCTCAGTTGAGCTGTTGAGGGAGCCGGATGGGAGGATGGTGAGGTTACCTGCAGATGCAACTTATCTCCCACGGAGGCTGTGGTTGCCTGGGAGGTTGTTTATCCCCACGTCCCCGAGAGCACCAGCACAAAGTCGGTGGGCAGGAATGGACAGGCTGGATCCTGGAGTTCAGGGTTTCTCTAAGATAGGGTGTGGTGTGCCTTCCTGTGTGGTTGCTGTCGGCTAAAAGTGGTTAAAAATTGCCAAACACTTGCAGGGCATCAGGCGTGGTGTTAAACAATTTCTTTTTTTTTTTTTTTTTTTTTGAGATGGAGTCTCGCTCTGTCCTCCAGGCTGGAGTGCAGTGGCCGGATCTCGGCTCACTGCAAGCTCCGCCTCCCGGTTCCCGCCATTCTCCTGCCTCAGCCTCCCGAGTAGCTGGGACTACAGGCGCCGCCACCACGCCCAGCTAATTTTTGTATTTTTTAGTAGAGACGGGGTTTCACCATGTTAGCCAGGCTGGTCTCGATCTCCTGACCTCGTGATCCGCCCGTCTCGGCCTCCCAAAGTGCTGGGATTACAGGCGTGAGGCACCGCACCCGGCCGTGTTAAACAATTTCTATACCGTGTACCCTGTTGTCTCAATCTCTCAGCTGCAAAGGGGGATCATTCCATACTCTCCATCATTTAGAGGGGGGAAGCTGAGGCTCAGGATAGTAAGCAACCTTCCTGAGGCTGCCTGACAATTCCTGGGGGAGCCGGCATGCGAGCTCATGTCTTTCTGAAGCGGCGGGAACTCTCCTGGGTCTCCCAGTCCAGCATCCCTATTCTACAGATGGAGGAATTGAGGCCTACAGGCCAGTCAGGGGAGTTCTGGGACTGGGAGGAAACTGGATCTCCCATTCCTTGGGGTGCCATTGATCTGCAGAAACTCCTGGAGCCCCTGCTGCACTCTAAGCTGAGTCCTGGGAGTGCTGAGCTCAACCCCAGGAGCAGAGTTCCTACCCTGGACGTGCGGCCTCGCTTCCAAAGAAGTCGTTAGGTAAGCAAGTTCCTAGAGGCGCCGTCTCACCTCCAGGGGAGTCCGGACTCCAGGCCCAGGTCACCCTGCACAGTCATAGCTTGATGCAGAGGATGGCGATGGAACTTGTCATCAAGAGAGAAACCCGCTCAGGCCCCTCTTTCTGGCCACGTTCCCATGTCTTTCCAAGCCTCAGTTGCATTATTCATGAAATGGAAATAATAACGCATGACCTACTCACCTAAAAGACTGTGAGGATCGGATCTGGAAAAATTACACATGAAGCACTTTGGGAAGCATTAAAATATGCACACGGACACAATTGGGGCTGACCCCACCCGACCCGACACATGCAAGTGGCGATTACAGTCTTCGGGGGCAGGGGTTGCAGGTCTTCAGAGCAGCAGAGCTCCAGGGGCAGCTCACTCTTCCAGCTGGTAGCACACCCAGAGCCCGAATTCCTAACAGATTTTGCATTATCCCCCCAATTACACACCCATTAGCAGCCAGTCTTGTCACGGTGAAGGCGTTAAGGCGTGACGCTTATAAAGTGATGGGAATTGGGCCGCGGAGGCAGTGGAGGCTGTTTAACAAGCTGGTTGGAACCCAGCTCCCCTGCTTTTTTGCCCCCACCCTCAGCCAAGTGTGCTTTTTAGAACTTCCTTCAAGGAAGAGGCGACTTCAACGGCTTCCTGTCTGGTTAGAACCGTAGATGATGGGGGCGTCACTGCATCCTTAAAGGAGCCTGGAAGGACGCAAAGAATAAACCGTCCTGAGGGACGAGAGCTGCTGCATGGGTGTCACATGGCTCCCTGTCCAGGCCCCCGTGGGCCCTGAGCCTCGGATACATAGCATTCCCCACGGGGGGTTTTCCTAACTCCCCTAAACTTGCCCTGGTCTTGCGTGCCCATCATCCGCTCAGTCTTCCTTTTTCCACGTGGGCTGTGGCATTCATGTTCCTCACCCTGGGGTGTTCTCTGTCAAGGAGCAAGCTGTGGCTTCTTTGCTCATCTCGGTACTCCCCACTCCTGGCTCAGCAAGTGTGTTCAGTAAAGGTTGTTGAGTTATTGGATGAATCTTATCCAACCCTAAGATCGAAACTCACCACAAACATTGAGATGTCATGGCAAGAAAACGCACAATGAGATGAGGGACGCGGTAAATCCCATCCCAACGGATACAGAGCATTATGGGGACTGGACGACGGAATGCACCACTGGGGTCACAGTTCCTAACTTGGGAAGCTCAGATCCTGAGTCTCGGGGCCAGTCCCGGTTTCGAGGGTTCTGAAAGCTGATGGTCTCTGCCGGCATTAGGAGCTTCTCTCTTTGGCCCCACAGATTCCAGATTCCTCCAAGCATTCCAGAGCCACCTTGTTAACGACCAGGGTCCTCTGTCATAATTTTAACTTTGTAAGCTAACTTTCCTGGTCCCACACTCTCATCCCACAGTCTTCCCTGTGAACATCTGCATCCCAGCACAGGCAGGGTAAAGGGAGATGAATCAGCTGGAGCCCCTGCCCTGGAGGTGTTCACAGCTTAGTTTGGAAGAAAGTAATGTGCCCAGATAATTAGAGTACAGTGTGATCGATGTGATAATTGAGCTAAGAACAAAGCCTTGTGGAAACACAGAGCAGAATGCGAATCTGCCTCACAGACAGGCAAGAGTGGCAAAGGCGGTGTCACTTTGGCAGTGAATTTTCCTGATGAGCCATAGCTCCCTCATCATCTACCCAAGGCAGGCAGGGGGTGGGAGAGCCTGCTAGGCAGTAAGGACAGTGCACACAGCAGCCCCGAGCCACCAAAGAGATCTGTGCGGAGCCATAACTGCTTTCCCGGGACTGGAAGCAAGGCTGCTGAGATGGAGTGCTGGGTGTTGCAGCTGGAGAAAGAGGTTGGGGTCAGACTTTGAAGGGCTCTGAACATCTTACTAAGATTTTTTACTTTATCCTGCAGGCCACGGAGGGGGCTCTTAAAGGGCTTTAAAGCAGAGGAGTGACCTGGTGAAATCTGTGTATTAGAAAGACACCTCTGGCAGCAGCTTTCCACTATTGATGTGAAATTCCCCATTCTGGAAGCTTGGAAGGCAGTGATGTCTTAAACCAGCTTTGCTACCAACCCCGCCTCCATCCTCTCATCGTTTGAGGAGAGGAAGCCTTCAGGTAAGACCTGAACTTGATTCTTGTCCTGCTCCTGATTCTCTGAGTGACCTTGGACAAGCAAGGTGGGCCTCAAGTTCCTCATCTCTAAAGTCAGTCCAGGCTCTACCCTTCTCACAGTGCCATGGTTAGGAACTGATGACAAGCAAGACGTGGAGAGTATTTTTTAATTGTAACTGGCTTTATAGATGCAAAGAGATTATTTCTATTTAATGAAAACGAGCCCTCTGTCAGGGAAAACGCAAATGGGTGTTTGAGCAGGGCATACGAATTCTGGACAGGAATGGAGCTCATCATCTACCCCAGCCTCCCTTGATCCCCAGAGCAGCACTTCCACCCCCAACTCCTGTTATTACCCAAGTTCATCCTGGAAGGAGATCTCCCAAGCCAACACCTCAAGTCCTGATCTTCCACACCCAGGGTAGGCCTGCAGGTCTCCCTCCAGGGGCTCCCTGGCAGGGGCACGAAGACTCTGTCTGTGGTGCTGACCCCTCACTGCCTTTCCCCTACACATTCAAGAATGTGCTGTGAGCCCAAATGGCAGGGACACTCCATTTCTGAGCACATGAACTAGAGAAAATGTTACAGCCATCTGTCGCCCCTAACTCAATTTTCCCCAGTAGATTTACAACCCGTAAACGTAGTCGTCAGAGCAGAGTGAACAAAGCTGAGGACCTGGTGCACTTCAGCATCAACCATGAGCGAGTAGGAGGGCTTTGAGCATCTCATCCTAATTCCAATCCATTTATGAACTTGCTTTCCCAGTGAATCATTTATCAGACCCACCCCCACTCTCCCTCACTCTGTACTTTTTTCATTGCTGCGCTCACAAAGGAAGGAAATGAACACTGTTTCAATGGTTGCAGCTGCTGCCCAGAATCTCCAAGAACCAGTGCACAAGGAGGAGGGAGGGGAGCTGGCTTTGGCTTTGACTATATGATGATGAGGTATTGGATATAAATGGAGCCTGCATTGGATGATCGCCGCAATCCCTTTCAATCACTGAGAGTCTTTGATTTTACAATCCTGATTCCTTTGCAGAACTCCAGTCACCCCCAAATGGTGCCTGAACCTTGATTACAATATGAAACATATCTGTGTTCTGAAAATCTTTCCTGTTCCACCCTCCTCTCACTAAGACTTTTCTTCCTTGTTCTGCATCTTCAGGACACGTCTTTCTTGAGGCTTCTGTCTCAAAAGCATGCCTGGGGTGGATTCCAGCTTTGCAGATCAGTAGTTTTGACACTGAGCAAGTCATTTAAACTTTCTGTAGCTCAACTTCCTCTTTGGTAAAATGAGGACACCGATATCCACGTCCTTGGATGCAGATGAGATACTGTGTGTAAAACATCTTCTCTGGTGCCTGGCTTATGATGGGCACACAAGAAATGCTTGCCTTTGTCTCCCCTTTCCAAGTCAACGAGTTCAGCACAATGTCAGTTAATGTATTAATTTCAGTAACACATGCTTGCCTGTTCCCCTGGTCCTTTCACATTTTTTTTTTTCCTTAGAAGAATTGATTTCTTTGGAGTAAATGCCTGGTCATGGGTGCCTTTTTCTAATCTTAGAAATAATACAGTGTGGGGAGCTCATTGCTTTGCCTACACACAGAACCATGGCAGGGTAGATCGAACCTTGAATATAGTTCAGTTTCTTCTGGCTAGTGGTTTCCTCCAGGCTGAGAGAGTGATTATTCTTATTTCTCCAACTTC